AGATCTTGAAAATGCTAAAAAGATTCTTGGCATACAAATTTATAAAGATAAAGATAAAAATATGTTATTTCTCAATCAACATGATTATGTGATAAAGATTCTGAAAAAATTTAACATGTTTGACTATAAATCTGTGTCTCTGCCTCTTGCAAATCATTTTAAGCTAACCTCTGATCTCTGTTCCAAAACTTTTGAAGAATCTGATAAAATGTCAAAAATACCTTATGTAAATGTTATTGGTTCTGTGATGTACTTAATGGTATGTACTAGACCTGATCTTGCTTTCAGCATTAGCATATTAAGTAGGTTTATGAGTAACCCTAGGGAAGAACACTGGAATGCTTTAAAATGGCTCTTAAGATACTTAAAGGGTACTGTAAACTTGGGTCTTGTGTTTAAAATGAACAAAGAAGGAGTAACCTTAAAGGGATTTACTGATTCTGACTTTGCTGAAAATAGGGACAATAGGAAATCAACTTCATCCTATTTCTTTACCTTCATCCTATTTATCCTCAACTGAAGCAGAATACATTGCTGCCTCTAATGCTTTTAAAGAAGGAATATGGTTAAGTGGATTACTTATGGAACTTAGAATTGTTGATGAAAATGCAACATTATATTCTGATAATCAAAGTGCCATACACCTTATTAAAAATCTCATGTATCATGATAGGACTAAACATATAAACATTAAATATCACTTTATTAGAGACATTATTTCAAAAGGTGTTTTGAAAATTGGTAAAGTACCTACTCAATATAACCCATCCGATATGGGAACAAAGATAATACCTTTGAACAAATTTTAAAACTGTTTGAAGTCATTTTCTATTGATACTATGTGATAAAACTGCAGGTACTTGGAGCAAATGAAAGGAGAAAGTGATATTATCTACTGGCTGCACTAAAGCAGAAAATATGGAGCAAAGTGGAGATTGTTGAGACTCGAACCCTGTTATTTGTGCTCCCATATTTTCAGCTAACAAAACGTGTTTTGAGAACACGCCTTTATAAATGGTATTCTGCCTGATGATGGCACCTGGCTTAATTCCCACCGTTGGATGAAGGGTTTACGCTCTGGTGATATAAATAGGATGGACTGTTCGTTTGGCTTAGTGACTTTTCATTTTTGTGTGACTCTTGAGTGAGGTTCGAGAGAGTTCTTCGTCTCTCTCGAGTTAGGGGTTTCAGTCTTCCCTATTTTCTATAATCGATCATCTCATTCGATGTTTTGGAAGATTATTAATCACTGTATATTGATCTTTTCTTGAGTGAAACTTAGAGTTCTCATGTGTTGAGATTAGGAATGTGGTATGTTGATTCAGTGTGAGTCTGAGGTAGATCTGTGGTTCCTTTTGAAGAGATAAGTCTCTTTCTTGTGTATTCTTATAGTGATTAAACTATGTAACCTTCGATTGCCTGTTTTTGGGGCTTTAGTGCAACCGAGCAATATCCACTTCGATTGGATGCTCAACAGGGGATTAGGTGCTTGTCACTGAACCTGTGGGATTTCGTCCGAAAAATCTTGTTGTGTTCTTTATTTTCTGCAAGTTTAATTTCTGTTTTGAACTTGATTGTATCTTGCAATTAATGTGTGGGTTTTTTGGCCCCCTTTCATTTCCTAATAATTGTTGTACACACAAGTCACATGAATTGCGTTCATTTTTCCTCCAGCAGTTTGAGGAGAAAACGTCCTATATATTTCTAGGGGTATTGTTCATCTACATGTAGCACAATGAGCCCCCTATTGAATCGTTGCAATGGATGTTCAATCTCGAAGAGAAGGAAAAGATCTTCGAAAAGTAGATTTTTATGATCCACTATACATACCTAAATGAAATGCAATATGATGGCATCATGATGTCAAAGTACACAATCTAATAGATCTTCGTATAAAGTAATTAGACCATAGTCTCTTACCGTAAAAGTAAATGCATTTGCAGCAACACCAACTATGAGAAATCCATCAAAAACTTCTTGTAACAATATCAAAGAAAAGAATGAGGTTAAAAAAAAAGAAGGTATGGTACGAAAATAAATAGATCCACTTCATCGTATTATATTTGTTCGATACACTGTTGTCAATATAAATGTTGAGAAAAGATTGCGACAATTTGACAATGAAATAATATTATCTTTGTTTCATTGCACGAGATCGAGAATTATTATATCACCAAGGTAATGTTCCATCATCTTGCTAGTTCTTTTCATGAGACACAGGAGAATTTATTCTAGAAGCTGAATAATTGTTGAAACTAAGGGTCCATTTGATTGCAAAAATAAAATTTGAATGAAAAGAAAACAAATTCCAGGAAAATGAATTATCTAGAAATTGTTTTTCTGAAAATTGTAAATTATTGTGTTTGATTGATATAATTTTCTACGCGAAAAATGTTGAAATAAAAGTATTTTTTTGTGTTCGTTTGACTATGTTTTACATGAAAATTGTCAATTAAAGGGATATATTTTACTGATATTGGGGATGAAATTTGTTTTCATTGTTTAAAAAAATAAAAAATTCATGAAAATTATCTATCTTTTGGTGTTCGTTTAACTTTGTTTACATGAAAATTGACAATTAAAGGGAAATAAATAAATATATATATATATATATATATATATATATATATATTTTTTTTTTTTTTTTTTTTTTTTTTTTTTTTTTTTTTTTAATATATTTTGTTTTTTTTTTTTTTTGGGAAATTGGATAGGAAA